TTTTTTTCTAGGTACTAGAAATATTCGTTATGTTTGCTGGGGGACGGGAGCTAATTTTAAATATCATTAAGGGAGGTGTCAAAAAATCTTTAAAAATCGCTCACGTTATGGACGCCTCCATGGATCATGTCAATTAATATGATGAATTGCATTTGAAAATTGTACATGTGTATAGTAAAAAAATTAACTTCGTTTTATGCATTTAAATATATCGTACAGAAATATTAAAGATTATGAATTGTGATTTCCACTTCATTGCCTTGAGCATACTTGATTAAAAGTGCAACAATAGCCTCTTTTATTACCGCAAGAAGGTTATCCTGGTCGGGACGCCGCCGGAAAACTCGATAATTGAAGCTATTTATATTGATGGCACACGCTAAACTCTAACATTGTCGAGGAAAATCAATGGTGGCCACGCCCCTTTCGTCAATAACGACACAACAGGTTACTGGTGACGACATTCCACAGTGCAATGTACATTCTACATACAATATACACATGGCCAAAGTGTATTTATTTAAGTAACATATACCAGAGATTCGATACGATTTAAATCCACGCAGAAATCAATACGACTGTCCGAATGTTAGGCGCCCCCTAGTATCTAAATTGTTGTGTGGGGACACAACATTCGTATTGATGGAACAGCTCACTTCATTGTTTAGAGCTTCTCCTCGTGCACGAACATGGATCATGTCAGTTAATATGATTAATTGCATTTAAAAATAATAATTAATGCAGCACTAATCAATAAAAAACTGATTTAAAACTCTTTGGTATTTATCGAGCTGTCAAATTGCGTGGGTGCATGGTAAACACCGCAATGAACTATGTTTAAAATTAATAATTCAGTTTAAGATACATATTATTTACCAATGCATCATTCATTTAATTTGCAAAGTACAAATTTTTTATTCGTGAGGATTTGCTCTTTAATATGAATGACAGTAATTAGCATGACACGTCAAAACGTTTGTTGAACAATTAACTCATTATTATCAAGGTTTTTCTCCAATTTGTTATTTAAATTTGACATATTGTTGGCAACCCCGCAAGTACTTTGGCAACGTGCAGGGTGGGGCAAAACGTCAAACGTCATTTCAATATGTCCGACATGTAAATAGCATGAGAAAATTCTTAAAATAACTTTCAATAAAAACAATTGCAAATCAATTAAAAATCCAAACTCACCATCATTTTGTAGCTGTATTTTCTGGTTGCGGCAGTTTCCATACGAACTGCCATAACACAAAAACAATTTCTAGATTTGTTATCTAATTTATTGTATTAGTTTTCAAGTTCAGTCGTTTGTTGACAACATTGATGAAAGTCACTAATTTTAAAACTAGTTTGGCACTTGCACATATTATGATTAAAATGTTCTATTTTATAAAATCTAACTCACATCACAGTTACGCCGGACTATGTACTCGCTATAAACTAAGTTTATAAGATTAATCATAAGGAAAAGTCTATAAAATATCGAGCCGAAACAATAATTTGCCACACCTCTTCGCTTCTGCCACCATTTTGCATTCGAACTACACGATGACAGAAGTCAGATGAGCCACGGCACCGATACACCGATACACTGACATGCACGCACACATGCCAACGTCGCGGACTTAATTGGTTTTGTGTGGGTGAGACTCGTGTGAGGCTGTGCAAGCCGGCCGGTGAATTGTCGGGAAGTGCTGCCATCGGCACACCAACTGCTTCGGGCAGGGTTGGCCAATAGATTTGTTTTTGAGATTTGACAAAACTCATTTATAAAAAGAAACAATTATAAAAGTAACTAACAATAAGTGACAACTCTATAAAATTTCAAGATAATTTATTAAGCAAATGAGGTCATTATAATAGTAACAATTTTTAATTTTTCAACTTTGATTTTTGTCATGAATAACAATTTTGACACATCGGGACTTCTTCTATGAGTCCTATAAGTTTTTGTACTGACGATTCCAAACAATATTGAGCAAATGAGTTTATTATAATAGAACAAATTTTACTGTTTCAACTTTGATTTTTGTCATGAATAACAATTTTGACACATCAAGACTTCTTTAAGGGATACTTAAAGGGTCCTCCACTCATACGTGAGGGCGCTGCTTTGGCATTCAAATTGATGGCGCAAAATTTGAAATGAAAATTAATGAAATTTAGTAATCGGGTATTTGAGACTAAATTTGGTATTACAGTCGTATTGTGTTTTGTAATAACACAATAATGACAAAAATATACTTAGATAATAATATTATATTCATAGATTATATTTTAATAAATATACATACAAATCGAAATATAAATCAACAAACACGGTTTAAATATCCATGACATATAATCTACTGGAATAATTTCAATTTAATTTATTAATATGAATATTTAGCATTATAGTGTTAGTTCATTCATTTTGTCTTTCTTGTAGAAGCTTATACTTTATTTCTTCTTTAATTTCCTAGAACTGGCCTCTTTCCTTAAAGTTTAATATGATTAGACTAATCTGTCAGCTGAGTTTGAAGTTGTTCTATTCATTTTATCAAAAGACTATGCATTTGAGAGCAATTCATAATGAATTTTCTATTAACAAAGGATCACCATTTTGTCAACGGACGTTTCTTAGTAACCAACAAAAAACATTTGATAATACTTTTTCATCGACCATAAGACACCTAAGTAGCCCTTCTTTAAAAAGCTACCCAAAGGTCAATCTAGGCATGCTTGATATATTTTATTATAGGGCTACTCTAATAATGCTGCCACATGATTTTTGACGCATCAAAGCGCGGAAAGGTTATTTTTGCTTAAAATTAGAAACTTATTGTTATAGAAATTTTCAAGTATGAGAAATTTTGACATCAGGCTTTCTAAGCCGAGTATCGAACCTGAAATTTCTAATTGAAAGCCCATAACTCAACCACTAATCCTCTGGGAAATCCATTATTTTATTAAATCCCATTATTCAAATTAAAAGATTAATATTGAATGCGTTTTGATGATTATCTAATACTAATATAAAAAGCAAGTTAATTGTTATTGGAAAGTTAACAGAAATATGTAAAAAAATAAAATGCCACATAATATGTTTATATGATTATATGTATGTAAAAATTAAAAATTATTGAATAGAATATGATGTAAAACTATATGGTAAAATATGAAAAACAAGCTAAGAAGCTAGAAGCTAAAAATCAAAAATACATAAATGCACAATATGCACTCACCATACTCTTCTTTTATATATGCACTCACCATACACTCACACATTTGGTTATTTAATACAAAAATCATAAACTTCAGACATATATTTTAATATTTGCCATATATTTATGCAAAATTCCTTTTCGGTATCTTTCCCAGCCCTGAAGCGCGGTATCGCCCGATAATTTGCGAGAGTCTCCGATGATTTTCGAATGCACCCGACTGCCACCGAGTACATTCAACCATTCGAATTAAATGCACAGCTTTTAAAGAGCACGCTGCGTGCCGGCTGTCTGTTGTTTGTGTTTTGATTCAGCCCGGCTGTCAAATGTCATCTGTCATTTGCGGCATTTGCGTAACCAGAGTTGAATATTACTAGCGCAAACTTAGCGTGTTTGATAACGATATCAGCAATTGCAGATGGCTGCATGTGATATCGTGCTAAAACGCCTTTGTGTTTTAATTGGTAATAATTCACCTGCTCGTAATTTGTAATGTTATTATGACCAGAATCTTATAAGATGCTCTTCTTTTATCTTACAATTAGATAAAATACTTAGTATCTTAGATAAGATACTCTTCTTTTATCTATGATAAGATGTTTGTTTAAAAACACATCCTATATTCTCTAAGATACTATGTTTATGACAAAAATGCTCAATAATTTAAGACAATATACTCGTTCAAATTAAAATTTAAACTGGTGGTTTAATCTTCGAAACGGCTAGATCTGTCTTTACCAGAAACTAACCAGCATGTCTTCTCATCAATAGGAATCGAATGTTTTTTGAATCATTTCAAATCGGTTGATTCGTACGCCCGAAATCGTGGACGAAAAATTGTATCCAAACATACACACATACACACACACACATACACTAGTCTGGGATGCATAAAGACATTTCCTTCGCCATACAAAAAAAACACACACACATACACATACATCCATTTTTTCTAGGATGCACAAATTCTCATTTTCGTTTTTTTAGCGATTACTATATAACTTAACCTACGGGAATTTAAAAATATTATATAACAAAAATTCAAAATCAGATTTATTAAGATGTTTTTATAAAATAGTTGAAACCGGTGCTTACCAAAAATGCTGATAGAAAAATCTAAAAGTCTGCACAAAGGAGAAATGCACAGAGGAACCTGTTTACCTTATTGCCTAGAAGGATAAAAAAAGTAGTATGGATGATAACTATTCAGGATGCTTCCATGAAATCAGATGAAAATCAAAAAAATAATTATGTAGACAATACAATCAAACCTACTTGCATATTGCAATAAAATAAATATATGAAAAGATTAGTTCATGCAGAACTTCAGTACTCGGGGAGTAGCAATTTTTATGAAAAACTATAAAGTGGCACAAAAAATTTGCGTTTTTTCTGATGAACTGCACCTTATTTAATGCTTATGAACTATACTGTACATATCTACCAGAAAACGAAACAAGATACACAATTTTTTTACTGGAAGTAGTTAGGGAATGTTTAAGTGTGGATTTAATTGAATGTAGCATTGCACCTGACACTTCTCGAATTTCCAAAACTGCTCCTCATAAAGACACACCTCTCAGTCTTTCCGGATAAGTAAGAGACCACGTCTTAGAAAAAACTGTCACTGCCAGAAAAGCAAATCCAACTGGAGCATGTAAAGCAAGCTCTCCAAAGGGAAAACGAAGCAAAACTATATATATTTGTGATTGCTATACCGCTTGTCATACAAAAAAAAAATTGAAAGTTTAATATAAAATAAAATTTATAAAAGTTTATTTTTATTGTTTTACTTCTACATCCAATCGCGAAATAATAACCGGTGACATAAAATAAACTTTCAGTAAAATTGCCGGTCAACAATTTAAGACTTAACAAAATTTTCTTCGAATATGCTGTTTCTGCTCCATGCACATACATATATGTGTTTATATACATATGTGTAAATGGTATTTAATTATTTTATGAGTCATTAATAATTCAAGTATATAACTTTACTTGTTAATTAAAATATAATAAAATTGATTTACTTCACAACAAATAAGCCAATAAACAAAATTCTAACGATACAAATTCAGTATTTACATTTGCCAGCAATTTCAATATCTAACAAACAACATAAATATTTTCATAAACTTTATACAAATTTAGTTTAATTTCAAAATTAGTGTAGTTTAACTACATATCCCATTTTGATGCTTTTCTAAAGCAGTATAAATAAATTATATATTCAATTAAGGATTGAAATACTGATTCTTAACGTTACAACTGCAGTTCTTGAAAATCTGTTATATAGTACTGTGCTTTTGATTTGACTTCTTCTCGAACAATATTTCCGCCAAAACCTAAAAAAATATTTATAATTAAATCATTACATATATTTTATATAGCTAATATATTATGCCGATTGATTATATTTTGGGAATTAAAAGAATTTAATTTATAAAATTAATGATTCTAGTGTTATAAATTAGATATAGATCGTTATTGAATCTGTAGCTGTTAGATTTCAAACACTTTGGTTGTTTGGATATTGGGACCGATATATTCTAAATGATTTGTAAATAACTTAAATCAACCAAATTGTTCTAGCAGAAATCGTAGTAAATAATCCATCCAATTACAATGAATTAATTATTACAAATTCTGTAATTTTGATTATTTTTTTATTGATTTATAAGCTATTGTTACATGGATACATATTGCTATCCATATTTCCAAGTAAAAACCGATGTCACTACTGCTTGACATCAAGCTGGCCGAGATTGGGATCAAACCCGGAATTAGTGAATTGATCATAAAGATCAAAAACAAATTCAAGATGCTATTCTTGATTACTTACCTATGAAGGTATCAGCCTGTGCTTCTAAATCTGTAGCACCGTCACCAATCATTGCAATGTGTCTGTAACCCTTTTGCTGCCGCAGCAACGCTAGAACTTGCCCCTTGCCGCCAGACCGAGATGTCGGTTGAGTTGCATCAAATCCAGCGTAATCTCCTAGAATTTATTTTATCATTGAATACAGTGCTATTAAATTCACATATGGTAATAATAAAAACATGAGATTTATTATTGTAGAATTCCTTGGGATCAATAAACTTTTAGTGAAATTGAATAGGAATAATTAACATACAAAGGTAAAATTTGAACAAGTAAGATCATATATTCATATTTATCAATATTAAGGTAGTATTTGAGAAATTTTTTATATTAACCCTTTCCACTCGGATGCCGCTCCGGCGGCAAAATTCATATAAATCTCGGAATTAGCGAGTGTAAAGGTTGAAGTTAGTTTTGTTATAAAATTGGTTGTGTGATCAAAGAAGATTCGTATTAGAATTTAAATGTTTAATGCATTAAAATATTTTCATACGTTTGTAAGTTAAGTTATAATAAAAACTAAGAAAAATAAATAATTTAATCTATGTAAGAAAATTATTGGCGTTATCTGAATTGAATTCCTTGGCTAAAACAATGTTGATACTATTTCTAATTCCACATTTTCTAAAGTGAATTAAGTTTAATTTATACAAATTAAATGTCTATTGAAAATTGCTACAAAACTACACAGAATCCTCTTCGACGATAGCAAACGTCTTATTTTAATATTTAATAATTTGGCTATTTTTTGAGAAAATTAAACTATGATCATTGTTGATAATCATGATAAATATGAAGTTTTCCTATTCTTTCTAATAATAGAACTAATACTGAACACCACTTCCTCAATCCAGCAATGGAAAGGCAAACAATAGTGATTAAGCACTATAAAAATCATCTTTCATCTATTTATTTTGATAAGAGCAATAGTTTAAGCTAACTATACTGGTTATTGTGCCGATTTCGAAACTGGATAAAACTAGTTTGGAGCCGTAATCAAGTCATAGTTCATATTTCTATGATAGGCCAATGACATTATGAATATTTATTTATGTAACAATTCAATAAAATATAGACTATTATTTGGTTTTACATGTAAAAAATGAAATAAAACACATTTTTAAGAGAGCACTCATTGATTGTGAGTTATATGTATATAGAACATTGATAAAAAATAATTAAGATTAGTGTGTAACGTTGTATATTTTCTAATATTAAGTCTAAAAGCATAAATTAGGTCAGTATTAATGATATTCTTAGCAACAAATGTTGATATATTTCATACTTCCCGAAGGGTAAGTTATAGTAATCGCAAAAAAATCGAAAATGAAAATTTTGATATATCTTTACGTTTCAAAGGTTTCTGAATATTTTGGCATACCTTAAAAATGGATGTATGTGTGTGTGTGTGTGCGGATACAAATTTTCATCGACGATTTCGGGAACACCGATCAACCGATTTGAATAATTCAAAAAACATTCGATTCGTATTGATAAGGAGGCGAAAGCAGGTCTAACCGTTCCGAAGATACGGGGCAAAAAGTGCCCAAAACAATAACTCAGTTTTTAAGAGAACGGAGCGTCCGATTTTAATAATTCAAAAAACATTTTATTTGCATTGACAAGTTGAAGAACTGATTTTTTTGGATGGCAGGTCTAACAGTCTAACATGAACTCTCAATAAAAATAAGTTCAAATATGCCATTTGACGGTCAAAAATGTTTATTGGGCATATGTACATAAAATTATCAGATATTTTATAGAGATTTTAATAATGTGTACACATGTATTGTTTTTTTTTTGGGTTTCGTACCAAGATTTTTTATTACGGTACGGAAGTTCCAGCAATTTGCCTTAAGGCACGATGCCATGCACCCCACTAGTTTATAAATTGAATCAGAACATCTGAACTTAACAGTTATAATGACGCTCTTTTATTTAATGTATTTTTATTATTAGAATTTAATCTGATTTGCAATTCCGGAGAAAGGCTATTTTCACTTCAAAATATATTTTTGATTTATGTTTTCAAGTAAAAGTGGATATCACTACTGCTTGGTATCAGGTTGTCCCTAACACGTGAGTAAAACTAGTATAAAATACGATTTTTTAAAAGTATGTCTTAAAATATTTTAAATGTTTTAAAATATGTTGAAAACATGAGCTTCTGATCAAAATATTCCACACATTTCAATGCGATACATAAAGTTTTATTTTTTTTCTTGGACAACGCAAAAATGATTGACCTATCCTAGTGGTTCCCCTTTTTCTAGTTTTGATATTTTTTAACTTTTAGCATCAATGCCTAGAAGGTCTGTCATTTTTATAAAAAGTAACAATTATCAAATAACAAATATTACTGAAAACTTTTTTACATTTATTTTATATGGCTCTTCGGTGAATTAGTAGTTAGAGCTATTGGCTTTCAAACAAAAGTTTGATATCCGCCTCGACCAGACTGATATCAGGCAGTAGTGATATCGGTTTTCACGCGAAAATAGCAATATATAGCAATATGTTTGCAAGTGAAAATAGCCCTTACATATCATTACTGCCTTGAATAAAAATTCATCAAACAGGGATAGACCAGCCTGGGTAGATTTCTATAAAGCCATTTGGAGGTCTGATTGCTATTATATATATACAAATACATATATAAAAATATAGGTTTGATTTGAATACCGATAAAAGAAACTTTGGGCATAATTGTCCATTTACATTTGCAAGTACAACTTAAAATTTTCCATCAACGAAATGTTGTTTTTTACTACTACACTAGTTTTTACACCAATCGTTCGATTCTGCATGATTTATTAATAGGTCGTAATCGCATAAAAGATTACCATGTCAGGATTAGCAAACACATTGCGAAAATTGTTATTTTGAGAGCATTTGCGTACATCAGGCCGAAGCAAATATCGATTCGAGATTCATATCAGCGCTGTTACCAACTAATGCTTTTTTAATATATTTATCAGATCGAATAATAGTTATCGGCTCGTTATCGAGTTGTAATAAACTTATAATGCATTGTTATCTAAATAATGGAAATATGTGTATGTATATATACATATATGTGTATATATAAGTATACATTTAGTGCAGCGCGTGTATGATAGAATTAAAATATTATTAAATATGTTTTACATACCGTTATAATAGAATATGATTCTATTGGCAAATATATTTTCATATGGAATTCCTAATTCTTTGGCCACAGGTTCTATGAGTGATCGGAAGCCTCCACTCACCAAATATACTGGTATTCTTTCCGATGTAAGGATGCAATTAAGTTTCTGAAATTTCATTTAACTTAATAATTTATATTTAAATTTTTGAGAGAGCATTTTAATCAACTAGTTTTGTAACGGTGAACGTATCAAATTAGATTATTAGAATACATCATATATTTTTATTCTTATACTTAAAAAGCTATTGACCACGTAATAACTATCATCTAAGAACAAATTAGAAATTGGAAAACATTTATTAATACTTTCATTATTTTTTAAATTGAATATAATAAAATAAGATTTTTATAATTGTTTATTGTTACTTTCAATAATTTTTAAATTGAATATAATAAAATAGGATTTTTATAATTGCTTCTAGTACAGGTATAAACTATTCATATGATAAATAGTAATAATTAAAATATTTAAAAACGCAAGAAATTTAGGCATTTTGTAATAACATCAACTAAAGAGTATGGACATGTTTCCATACAGAATCGGCCACCCTAATATTTAAATTTTTTTGATGCCATTTTATAGGTCTTTTCGAAAAAAAGACTATATACGAATTTTCAACTTTCTAGCTCATTATTTGGCCGAGATATTATTGAAAATATGTGAAAATATCACATTTTGGCATATGAAAAATTATTTCCCCATGGAAAATGAAAATTTGTATATAGTTTTTTTCGGAAAATCCTATAAAGTGGCATCAAAATAATTTAAATATCAGGGTGAGGCTCATTCTGTATGAAAATACTCCCATACACTCTTTCAGTTTGATGTTACAAAAAAAAGCAAATACTGTGATAAGAAATAAAATAGATGTACTTACTTTATTCCAGGTGTGAGTGTTGATGGATGATCTTTGATGAAGTCTGAAATATTCTGTTGTGAAGGTCTGATTATATCTAATCGTTTTGTGAGAGCTTCTTGGAAGGACATGCTGCCTTTCATTGCTTCTTTGGTTCTGCAAATTTGAATTAATAAAAATAAGAACATATTCTATATTACATATCACAATATGTAATATAGAATGCTACATATTTTATTAATGTGGTATATTTTCTCCAATAAAGTAAGTAATAATATAATTTTGAAGTTACCTGTATGAGAAACTTAATGCTATTAAATTCAATGCATAAGTCGTATTTGAAATTTGTTGAACTTGGGATATTATTAGGACTAACAATAATTTTTTATTAAAGGACTTTATTATTTGACATATCTCGTCATATATTATAAACTTTTCCGAGACTTTTATCAAAGGCAATCGTGTCGTTTATCAAAGGCAAATTTCTTGAACAAATCAATCAAATCAATATCAAAGTTTTGAACTTTAAAAGCCCTTTTGAGGGAGTTTAATATTAATCGATGATTTTTTTATAAATAATTTAAATTAATAATAAATAAATACTTAATAAAATTAAATATAATCAATAAGTAATGAAAATACTAAGTAGTTTTTTTCTATCTTTTTCCATAGCATTTTCGAAAAAGAAAAGTTATATAATTACTACATATAAAAATATAAATATAATATGTTTTTGCTTAACATGCTTTATTTAGAGATATTATTAGAGACTTTTATTATGATTATGTTATTGAATCAATTCACCATATCAATCAATTTACCATAATATGAATATATATAATGAGTAGGCATATCAAATAAGTTATTTAAACATCTGCGATGTAGTTCAGTTGCAGTAAAAAAAGAAAATTATCTAGGAAAAGGAGAAAGAAGTATGAGAAGTACAATGAAAAGAGTATAAGGATAGGAGCAAGGAGTATAAAAATATACTTATAAATTATGTATGTAATAAGAATTATAGGTGTGGAGATAATTAGAATAAGCATACTTTTTTATTAAGAAGAAATCACTTGACTAAAAGTGAAAAACTCTGATAATAATAATGAATTTTTCTTACAATTTGGCAACTTCTCCACCTTTGCCCAGGTACCGGGACAGTTCATCGATGCCTTCCTCCCTGATGACGGTGGAGTCAACGTCGAAGCAAACGGCATCGGCCGCAGACAGAGCGCTCGCCGCCTCGCAGGACATCACAGATATACCGAAAACGGTCAATCTGGATAAAAAATTATTAGTATTTATTATGAAATTTATGAAATTTTGATTGTTGGTGTCCAAGATAATTGTATGTATAGTTTATGCTTGAATTTCCATTTGTTCTATAATTAACTTTCCATTTGCCCTTTCCATTTGTCCAGTGTTATATAACAAATAGTTCAGTCATGCAAGCTTAAGTTAGGTAAGAATCTCAAAAATCAAGATACCCAGCTGTGAGTCTGCAAATGTGGTGTCAAAACCATATGTAGGTTTTGAGACAAATTCAGGGTGTCAATATACAAGTATTTACAGACTTGCAGCTCAGTATCTCGAATTCTGAGGTGAATTTACTATAATGACTGGACTATAACAATATATTAACAAACGAAGAGGAAAACTATTGTGTGACGATTTGGCCACTCTGCATTAGTTAGTCGTTAGAAATTCATTATCGGCATTTTTTATTATAATGAAATAAAGAAGAATCACTTGACTCTAATAGTAATGACGATAATAATGCATTTTGCTTACAATTGCCGAGAGCAGTCATTTTGACTGTTTTTCATTTTAAATAAAAAAAAACTGTGCATATGATATTGCACACCTTCTTGAAATTTTGGGACTTTTATATAACATATAAATGCCTAGAAAAATCATAATAGTTGCATTGCTACTCACTCCTTTGATTTTTAATATTTTTACGTGTTATGCCTACATTGACGAAATGCAGTCATTTTGACTTTATTGTATTGAGAATTGTTATCGCGCGTCCTTCATCTCGAATACATTATAAATATTCCCTACATGGGAAGAACAGAGAATTTGGGTAAGTTTGGACTTTGGACCAACTTTTTTAGGCAGTGACTTGCACTGTAACACGTTGTTCAACTGATTTCCTACATGTTGTTTATTGAAGACTTATCCTGATGTTTCATGAGAGGCAACCCATTGGTTTACCATTTTCCTATGTGTGGGGTTTTATATTAGCTCTTATGTCTAAAAGTTATCATATAAATAAATGTTGCAGCTACGCCGACGAAAAGCGATTTCTACTTGAAATATTGAGATATATAACTTCTAGTCGAAATTTGACTAGAATCAAAGGGGCCCGACATCAAAGCTGCCTGAAGTCGGGCTTTGTCCGTAGTGAGAATCGAACCAGCGAACTCGGGACTGGTTAATAGATATCAAGACATTTGTTGCTAAAATATTTATTCCAAAGATGAATGAAACTTTAATTTTTAACTCTCGTGATACTTACGGACCGATTCTGCCACATAACAGAAAATGTTATGGCAAGGCCATGTTATGAAGAACTTTGCATACTAATATTGACAAAAGTAATGCGGTTGGTGTATAGCCAGGTGAGTTTCTCAGGTTGTCTGATAGTAAACATAGCCTAGATGCCGCACAAATTTCAAAAAAACGATCTTAGAACACAGGGTCTTTCTGACTCAGCAGTTTATGTGTAAAACGCCTGAATACACAGCAAATACCTGACATTTTGACAGTATTGAGTATGATTCATTAGTATAATGTATAGAAGTCGGAGCGTAACATGGCATTGCCATAACATTTTTCTGTTATGCGGTAGAATCGGTCCCTGTTATTTAACTGTTAGTTGATAGTTATTTGTGTTTTACGGGCACTATTAGAAAATTGTGAATCGATAAAGAACTAAGATACATTAAATTGTAAGTTACGACATATAAATTACATAATATTATGGGCGGAGTATTGTTGCATCATGTACCGATACTTCTCCTATAATTAGTATTTTGTTCGTTTAATATTATATTCATCATATTCTTACACGAACTATTAAGCCATGGTTTGAGGAATCTAAAGTTTAGTTCGGATTTCGTATGGGGCATTTAATGTTATTGAAAACATATTGTTTAAAATAAAGTATGGATTAAAAATATGTTTAAAGTGTAAGCTTCTGAATAAAATATTCCATACGGTCGAATGCGATACATGAAGTTTTGATTTTTTTCTTGGGCAACGCAATGATTGACCATGGTTGATCTTTTTCTAATTATGATTTTTTTTTAATTTTTAGTATCAACGCCTGGAAGGTCTATTATCACTTGAAAAAACATATTTTTATAAACATATCGAATTGCAATCAGAAAAAATTATATCCTATAAGCCATTAGGATATGAATTTGATCCTTATTTTACACCAGGAATCAAATATGGCGCTGTTGTAGAAGATTTCCAGTGAGACTTCTACTTCCTTATATGAGATCTATAGGATGGTAATAATATTTTTGATCTATATTTTCAATTGATATGAAAAAACACTGCTGATTTAATATCAGGTTGTACTTAACCAGGGATTGAGATTCAAAACTTAACCAATAAGAGATTAAAAACGCGACATGTTAAAATAATGAATTAAAATTGCTATAGCATGAAATTATTGAAATATTAGAAGAATTGTAATTTTAGTGTATACTTATTGATTGTATGATATGAGTGTATTCTATAAGGCAACCCTGTGGTCATTTTCTAATCATGAAATTTCTTTCTCAATATAGCACCAATGGCAATCAAAACAATTTTATTCTATAAGCCATTTCGATATAATTTGATCCCATTTCATATCAGGGATCAAATATGGCGTAGAGGAAATCTCCAGTGAGATACTTCTAGTTCCTTATATGAGATCTATAGGTGGAAAACATATTTTGATCTATATTTCAATTAATTTGAATAACACTGCTAATTCGATATCAGGTTGTACTTAACCATGGATTTGAATTCGGAATCTTGCGAAGAAGGCCGAAGACCGAAGTTTTTCAGTTGCGCCACGTACTTCCTAATTTTTCAAAACTATTGGAATTTAATTTGGTCAAAGTTATTGGAGTATTTAAAAAAAAATAAAAAGTATGTATAGCATGAAATATTGCGACTATTATGTAATTTTAGTATATATCTACTTATTGATTGCATGATATGAGTGTACTATACAGTTGTCAATTGAATCATATAGCGACCTAGACTGGTAGGTCAGTGATACAACCATATGATGTTGAAAGCGAACATTGCCTCGACACTAAAAAACACAAATGCAACAGATTGCATTATAATTTACATATCAAACAGGCGATTAAATAGATTAATACTAGATTTGAACTGGATTTAACCGGATTTCGAATTAATTTCTATCTAAATTATGCAGAAATGTATGAGTATGGCAATGTATTGATTATTATATATGGGATGTAAAATATCATATGTGTGCGGTTAGAAAGTGCCTTCACCGATGGATTTCCGTACTTCTATGTTATTTCACAATTTGCAACTGCAATGCATAATAGTTTAGAGCAAAGTAATAGAATATTCAGAAGTCACTTGGAACAATTGATAAAACTCATTTGAATGCGTGGTTCCATTAATATGAATTTATTTCAGATTTTATTTTTCCAAGTAAAAATTTCTCTCTCGGGCTGGTTGATGAAAACTAATAACCTGAGGTGTGTAAAAATATGATCATAACTAAGAAGGATAACCCTTGGATTAAGTTCTAATAGCCATTTGAAAGAACCAAAAAAGTTACTGAAGGTCTTCATAAAGTATGTAGATAAAGTAGCAGAAGAAAAAATATATTTTTAAATTAGAATCTTAACCCACTAGAGTAACCACCATCATGTCATGTATGTAGAACTTCAGTACTATTACTGGAATTCTAATAACCAGCACAATTTTTTTTTATTCATTCATATTATATAACAATCAGAATAATTTACATAATACTCATGAGTTATATGGCTAAATTACAAACAATAATAATAATCA